ATTTTCAATCTAAGGGTTAGATTTTTAAAGTATTAATTAAAAAATAAAATTTTAAATAAATCATCTAAAATTTTTTAAAAAAAGATAATAATGTGCTACACTAACCTCTTAAATTTAGGCTTTTTTTAGATATTACAATGTTTATTGATATGATTATACATATTTATAATTAATTTATAAAAAAATTTTATTTGTAATGATAAGGTTAAATTAATACACAATATATTTTTTTATGTATATGTATTGTATTAATATCAAAACTAGTATGCATCTGGTACAAGATTGCCAACTTTGGGCAAAATAGTAAAAAGGAGGAATTCCCGCCTACATTGAGAGAAGCTAAGGTTTAGTTTTACAACGCCTACACTATTTTTTTTTTTTTTGTATATTTACAGAATTTTTTTATAATTAATATATTTTGTAAATTATTTATCCCTAATTTTTAGAAAAAAAGCAAAAATTTTTTATCCAAAATTAATAGAATTCATAAATAATTTAATAAAATTCTAAATTTTTTTCATATATTATATATTAAATTATTAATTGATTTAATTTTAAATAATAATATATCTAATTGAGTAATTTTACAATTAATAATTTTTTTGAAATATAATTACCAAATATTAAATTATTTTTTATGACAATATAATACAACACTTCTAATAACTATAATTAAAGGATAGCACTAAATAGTATTGTTAAATTAAACCTAAGAGAGATGATGTGGAACAAGTGGGTACCACAATGTCAAGATGGACAAAAAAACAATTAAAAAAGTGGCAAACGGCTGACCGTATGCCTTTTAACGGTGAAAGAGATGCCGTTACCCTTAAAATGGACAGAGGGACGAAATTGAGGTCTTTTTAAATGGTAGAGGGAGGACATGAGAATCTAAATCAAAGTAGAGGGAGGACATGAGGCAAATCTATAGTAGAAGGTCTAAATTGAACTTTTTTCAATAGTAGAGGAATGATAGTTGGCTTTAACTGTTATTTAAATTGAAGCTCTATTTCATTAATAAGAGAACTACTGATATTTTTTTATTTTTAAATATTCAAATATTATTTAAATTCTCTCAAAATTAAAAACTAAATATATTTTGCTAAAAAAATATTAATCTCTTAACAAAGAAGAACAATAGATTGATATAGGAAAGTTTAAAATCAACTACATATTCCCAATTTATTGTAAAAATTTCTAACATTATGTCTCTAGTAAAACTACCTTGTAACATTTAAAATGGGATTCCAATTTAGCAAGATTAGAGAGATAAAAATAAAAAATAAAAAAGGTTAGAAGAGAGAAAAGAAGCACATATTACAACAATAAAAATGGCTATTTAGATTGTCAATAAGAAGTTATTAAGAGCAAATTAATTAAGAATTACTACAAAAGTAGACTAAATAATAAAACGATATTAAACATAAAGATTGTCCTAGAAAAGATAAAATGAGAGATTGAAGGCCTGCTAATCAATTTTCAATAGGCCTCATCCTAGAACTCTAGCCAACTACTTATCATCACCAACATCTACATCATAGCCATCCATTCCAACTGCACCAACTTCATTGTCAATTTCTCAACCCTCTATCCATACCTTATTGTACAACAACAACTCACTTTGAATCTCCTACAAAACTACATTGTTGAAGGTGGGTTATATGGACTCAATGCTAGCACAGCATCACAATGGATGCAACAAATCCAACTTCTAAGAGCAATAAATCCTCCACCTTTTCCTCCTCCACCAAGAACCCATTGGAAAACTTGCTCTCGTCATCAACTTTGAGAGTAACAAATCCAACTCGTTGGTGATTTATGAGCAAATTCTAAAGATGTTGAAATGAAAAGATGAATTACAAAACATTATCAAAGGCTTCATTGGCATTGCAACGGTTGAGGGATACAACTAAAATTCATTTTGGAATTAAAATTAATGGGTAAAAGGAAGAATTTCAAATATATGGTTTTTACTCTTGTGAAATACACATGTACTTCATACAAATTCAATTACATCCAATTTAGGTATAATCAAACAATGATATTGAAATTGAAGAGTTCCAATTGAAATACACTTTTTGAATTTCACGTTCCCAAACAAGCCACAAAAGTCATGAAACCCATGTAGAAAGTACATGCATTTGTGAATTTTATATGGGTATTTTGTACATACCAGAAAGTTTCACATGTTCTGGTTATGTATTTCAGTTTTGTTCATTGAATGCTAATGAATGGAAAATTATCTAAATGTGTAGTTTACACGTACCTATTATGAATGGTATGATGATCGAGCCACGCGTTTGTCGTTTGGGATTTTCTTCGTTTCCCATTTCCCTATGATTGGTGGTTGATAGTCCTCGACTTAAGTTGTGTTTGAATTGTTATAAAGTGCAGTAGTTATGGAATTTTTAATATTTTATTATGAAAAAAACTATATTATTGTTTAATAATACGTTTTAAAAAAGTTTCATATATTAATATGATTACAAATTATACAAAATATTAATTAAAATTAATTTAATCATTATAAATGATCACTTTTGAGAAAATATGTAAATAAAAATGTCAACTTTACACTTTTTTTTTACTTAAATATGTTAATTTTGTTAGTTTCTAAATAAATATGCTAATTTTCAATTTTTTCTATTTAAGAATATTAATTTTTAATTTTTTTTATTTAAAGATGTCAACTTTCAACATTTTCTATTTAAAAATTAATTGAATGAGAATGCTAACATGGATTTTTTAATTGCAATATTGAAAGTTGATATCTTTAAAATAAAAAAAATTGAAAGTTAGTATTTTTAAATAGAAAAAATTGAAAATTGACAATCTTAAATAGAAAAAGTTAAAAGTTAATATCTTTATTTTAGAACTTGACAAAGTATTGGAAAAAAATGCAAAGTTAATATTCTTATATATGTATTTTTTTCTAACAGTTTTATAAGGTGTTGTAGGAAAAAACACTATGAGAAAGCAAAAACATAATTTTTTTTTGTGCATTTTAGACACAACTTAAGAATATATTGATTATACATTTTTTTCATTAATTGTAATGAGAGAATTAAAAGTTAATTTTAATTTTATCAACCACCCAATTAAAATTATACAAGTGGCATTAATTAGTGTTGAAAATGAAATTAGTTTTTGTGATTCTTTATGCAAATTAATGAAAAAAATGATGCAATTAACGCAACCTTAACATGTATCTTTAGAGTATAAATTAAATAAATTCATAAAAATAAAGAGGAAAAAAGGAACTTAAAAGTAAGAAAATTTTTTGAAAATGTTATATTTACAAATACATATGGTATTGTAAGTATATAGGACAATGATTAATACACCTTCTGATTCAACACAATTAATAACATTTATTGGTTTAATTATTAAGAAACTAATATTTTCAAATTTAAATTCAAGGTGAGAAAATTTTTAAAGGTAAATTTGAATGACTGAATCAGTGAATGTTATTAGATGTGTTGAACCGAAGAATGTACCAATTATTTTTTAAGTATATAATATGATGTATTATTATATAATTATCTCTTTTCATTTTAAAATTTACTTGTGATATTGTATGAATAGTTTAGTATCCCATCATAATTATTTAATATCATGTCATATTCATTTAATATCATAAAATGATTATAAGGTTACAATTGTACATGCATGATATATCCTAACCATAACATTATGAAAAATTTTAGAGAGAAAATTTTGTGTTTAAAAAATTGCATAATGAACAAAGAGCAAAGACAAGGGAAGCCCACCTTTCCTTCAACCACTGAGTTTCCATTTTTGTCTTTCCCACTGTTGATTATTATCATCCCTTAATTATTTCAACCGAAAAGCAAATTAAGAAAGAAAGAGATGAGAATGAGGAAATAAATTGAAGATGTGAGATTGATAATACCCTTCCATGATATAAGAATACAAAATATTGTCCGACACTGTCCTTGTTTTGTTAGAAATGTGCAGAAAATTTTGGAGAGGAAACAATAGGAGTAAAACGAAGAAGAGACCAAGGCACAAAATCCGAACTTTGAAAATCAGAATTGCAAAAACCAATAAATTGATAAGAGAAACAAACCCAGAATTTGCCTATAGTTGGATAGTCGGAGTCAAAGCATCCCATTAAACATCCGTGCAAGCTCAAATGCTTAAACCATTTATAGTGACCCCTGAACATCCATAGCTTCCTAGACAACTAATTATATTAACGAATCTTGTTGGAGGAAAATTGCAAGACATTATAAATGCCATAGAACGTGGAAGGGCGGCAAGAAATCACCCACGTAGAACGTGAAAGAGGTGAAGAAATGACCATTCATGTAGAAGTTGGAAGGGTGAAAAAACCCAGCATCCAACGGTGGAAAAGCGGGGACGAATGGAGGTACGTTAGTGTTTTAAAAAACCTTAAAGAAAGAGGTTGACATGAGTTTTGATTCCACTTCACATTGGGTCTTAAATTTGTTCTTTTGGATATTTTTTATAAAATTAGGTGGGAACTTTTATGTCTAATGATTAAAATTTTAAATATTCTTGTTAAAAACTTTAAGTTTAAATTTTGAAATAAATGAAGAGTAGTTATGAGTTGATTTTTTTTTTTTACAAGGGTAATGGTTACGAAGTTAGTGAATTAATTGTTAACAACTGGTTCTCAGACCAAGTGAATATTTCACCCTCTCAAATGAGGTGCGCGGCCATCAAGCCGCCTTTTGGTGAAGTTCACGACGGTAATGAAGCTCGAAAGTTCGATCACCTCATCCAAACACTTAAGGTTTAAAGTCGAACCATTGGGCCACAAAACTCGGTTTGAGTAGTTATGAGTTGAAGAGTAGTTATGAGTTGAAGAATGCTATACTTTATTATATAGTTCATCATTCAAAGTATGAGGTTTGGGTTGAAAAAGAGTATATTCTATTATATAGTTTATTATTCGAAGTATCATAAAAAAAAGGTGAGAATTCTTTTGGTCAGCAAAAAATATAGGATTGATTTTCTATTTCTTTAAAAATAGTAGATAATAAAA